ATTACAAGTAATTAGAAATGATACCATGAACTTGAGAGACCAAGGAAGGGTATATGATAGGGTTTCAACAAGTAACAGAAAATGGAAAATAATATAATTATATTATCATCTCAAAAATTTAAAAATATTTTTAAATTATCCTGGATGAAGAATATAATCTGTATTTTGCTTATTAGGACCATTAATTTTTGTAGCAATATTTAAATAAATTCCAAGTTTGGACATTTGTGTTTCTGATTTTTTTCTCCTCTATTAGGTCTCAAATGAACAGAAAAGTGGCTGAAATTTTTACAAGCACTATGGGATGACTGTCTAAACATCACTTGATGTGTTAAAGAAATATGCATTTTAATGTGAATTGCATTATGGCAATTATAACTTTTTCAGTTTAGTAAATATTTGAATGACTATATTCTAATTATAACATTGTATATGGTATAAAGAGAGAGGGGAGATTTTAACATGGTACTTACCTGTTTCAATACACTTGAGACTGTAAATATTGATATGCTAGAGTTCTGTCTCTGACCATTAATGAATCAACTAATTGTTGAAAGCATCACTGATCATTTTCAAATATTTTAAAGATAAGTGTTTTATAGAGCAGGAAAATACGTAAAAGTCAAGTATTGCAGGTTGGCTCTTGCAGTGATGTCTAGGATATAATGTTATCTAGGATGTCTATAATCAAAGAAAAAGGCAACATGTTGATCCTTCTAATTAATAAGAGTGATTTTGGGTGACATGGAGATGGGTTCATAGAAATCCCTGCCATAAGAATGCGTAGTGAAAAGCCACAGGTGTCTACTGTGTAAGGTGAAGTGGCAAGTCTGTGTTGCTGGTATACTGGCTCTCTCAACATTTTGGGTAGAACTGTGGGGAAATCACTTGTGCATGTCAGCCTTATACAGCCAATACAGTTTGATGAAAAATACAAGCTATGATTTTGCACAGATCAATTTCAAAGGAAAAGCAGCAAATGGCTTGTTAAAATGGCAATGAGACTTACCAATTCTAGCTTCCATTGCTGTGAGTTTTATTTTGTGGCAGTTACTGTTATTGTAAATTTTCCTAGAAAATAATTTAACATATGTAAATTGGACCATCTAAATTTACTCCTTATGAGATTTACATATGATTATTTTATAGGCGGCATTTGCTACAATTTGGGTGAATTTTGTCTCTCTGATCTTTAAAGCAGGGATGTTTTTTAATATCCATGAAACATCAGTGAACAAAGAAAATTAAATCTCCCATTTTATCATTAAAATAAAAGAATAAATAAATAAACAAAACAATGACAAATGCACAAAATAATCATAGTGACCTTTCAATTCCAGGATGTGACATCATTTTTATGACGGGACTCTCTTCATTCTTATTGTTAGTAATCCAACAGTCATGTGTCTATTCTCATCAGACATGAAGATAAAACAAACGGAACTGTGCTCCTTGTGACATCAGTATCCAAAGTGCTGACATTAGTCATTGAGTTTGTAAAATTATAAATTCCTGGGTGATGTTACAAATTAAAATGTGCATAAAATCACAAGCTATGAAAATATACAGAGGACTAAATATTGTGGATAAGTATCAATGTAAGCTCCAAATGTTTGCAAAGCTGCAAAGTACTTCAAGAGCAAATCAAAGATGTGGGAAGTCACCCAACTCTCAAACTATGTATTGGGGAAATATTACTTACATTTTCACAGTGGACAAAGCTTATGCCCCACTCCAGTTATACAGAAGCAAATCATGCATCACAGGGTCCCCAGAATATATAGAGCTTACTAGACAGTTTAATTCCTATAACCTCATTTGGAGGAATCATCTGGATGTGATTTTTCTCTTTATGGCAGGGATGCTTCAGCTTCTGCTAGTGTCAAATCTTCTACTATGGGAATATGTGGTCTCCTTACCCTTGTGCCTTGAGATAGAAGGATCCAACGAATTGACCATTGAAGAACTCTTTGACGATGCAATTGGCATGGCTCAGTACACCTCTAACCTCACCACACAAATATCTGAGGAGTTTGTGAGTACTTAATTTACTTCTGATTTCTTCTCTAAAGGGATCCTCAAACATTCTATAGGTTAAACCATGAACAAAATTTCAGATAATATGCCTTCATGGGATTAAAAACTAAGTATCAGTTATGAGAAATGGTACAGGAAGAATGAGAAGTTTGATGATATCTCAGACTTTTAAATATTACAATAATTTTAAATAATTGTTTAAATATTTTCTATAATTTGTTAATTTAAAAATTTTTAAATAAAAAGTGATTGTCTCTCAACTCTAATTCATGACAGTAAGTCCTAAAAGTGAGGTCAGAGAAGAACTCTGGTTTTCTGGTCTTGTATAGATGGTCCAGTCTCCACTTTTCACTTAACAGATGCAAAGCATAAGTAAAGTGCATTGCAGAGATTGTTTGGAGGGAATAGATATGAACTAATCTGAAGCTGTGTAAACAAAACAAAAACAAAAACAAAAAAACCAGAAAACTGTTTAGTTAGCCTCAAGGGCTGAGAATTGTTGTCTACAGATTTCCAGTGTAAAATTTCTAATGTCATAAGGAGGGCTGGTTTAGAAATCAAATATGTTCTCTTTCTAAAGGAGATACAGGGAAAACAAAGATGATTTCAATAAAAATTTGGGAATCATTAGAATATGTCTATAGATTTGTAAAGAATATGCATTCCCATTGTCCTTTTCACTTGCCAGTGCTTGATTTGCTATGTATTCTTAATTTAAAGCTTCCAACTATACAATACCCCTGCCATAAAAAGCAAATCATATAGATAGGAACCCTTCAAATTAGGTCACAAGAGTTAAACTATTTGGAAAAACCCTAATTTTTCTTGTCCATGATTTGGTTCTGTATAACTGCAGTGGGGAATAAGACTTTTCCACTGTGAAAATGCAGGTAATGATTGAATTGCCTCAACACATAGCTTGAGAGTTAGATGACTTTCTGAATCTTTTACTTTCACAAATTCAATGATTGTTAGTAGAAAATATTATCTTTTAATAGATATCTTAAGTAAAATCTTCAACTGATCATATATACATATATATATATATATATATACAATAGATAATATTTTAAATCTTCATTCATTCTTTGCTATATGTTCTCTTTAAAACATGCCAAGATATTTTATTTTAGTTAAAATATAACTATATCATTTTACTCCTTCCTTTTTCCTTCATCTACCTTTCTCTTGTGCTCCCCTTAAACTCTCTCAAATTAACAGCTTTTATAGCTATGATTATTATTTTGCTTTATATATTTGCATTATATTGTAATATATATACATACATATATATATATATATATATATATATATATATAGTATAGTATAACACAAACAGCCTGTTTAGTACATTTAATGTTGCTTTGCTTATATGTACATGATTTTAGCCACTTGGTATGGTATAACTAATGAGAGGGTACAGGGGTTCACCTCTAGGGAACTTTACCCTTCTATCAGTCATCTTTAGTTGCCAGTAGTTCTTTGTCGAGGGGTGAAGCCCCTGAGATTCTCCCTTTGTTTCTATTATGTCTGTTGGCATTATTATTGCTCAGGTCTTAATAAGACAGGCATATTGTTGTGGTATCATGTGTATAAATTCCCTGTCACTTCTAAAAGACACAATCTGTTTGCAGACTTCTCATTTTTCTGGCTCTTATAATCATTCTGCTTCCAATTTGTGTTGCTCTTTAATTTTCATAATTAATGTTGACACCATCAATATAATTGCCTTGTAATTTTATCATGAACTTGATATTGTCCAGAAATAAAGATTCAGTGGTAATTGAGAAACAGGTATATTTCACAACACTTAAAACAGATATATCATTTTAGAACAATAGTTTCATAAATATGGATGCACAAGTTGTTGTAGTTTGAAAGAAAATGGCCCCCAAAGGAAGTGGTAATGTTAGGAGGTGTGGCCTTGTTGGAATGCATGTGGTCTTGCTGGAGGAAGTATGTCACTGTGGAGGCAGGCTTTGAGGTCTCATATATGCGCAAGCCACACCCATTAAGACAGACCACTTAGTGTTACATGAAAGACAAGACATAGCCAACACCATGTCTGCCTGCATGCCGCCTTCCTCTCCACCAAGGTACTCCTGACTATGATGATAATTGACTAAGCCACTGAAAATGTAAGCTAACCAATTAAATGTTTTTCTTTTATAAGAGTTGCCATGGTCATGGTGCCTCTTTACAGCAATAGAAACCCTAACTAAGACACTCCGTGTCAAATAGTAAAGAGTGAAAAACATAGGTGATTAGAAATAGAGACTAAAAATCGAATTGTGTATCTAACGGGAAGAATATGTAAGTAGATTATGTTTTCTTAATTATTTAATTTTAGGTAGTGAGTATTTGTTATAAACTTCACATCTATAAAATACATGTATGTAATTATCATAAATGCACTTACTTAATTCAGAAACTCCAATAAATTGACATTTTTATTACTTCCAGGATGAAAACTTTGCCAAAAGCCTGGGGTACAAAGCCAGGAACTCCAGCACCTGTCACACCGCTTCCCTCCTTACTCCAGAAAACAATGAACAAATCCAACAGACACAAGTAAATCTTTATTTCTGGTTGTCACCAAAACAACTGAAGCAGTGCACAATGTTTACTCTGTTGTAGGTTACTTCGGGTGTTTTATAGGCGTCATTATCACATACCAAACAGAAAAGAGAAGAATGAAAATTTAACAAGTTACAAGTTAAAATTAATGTAGTTCATACTGTAGCAGATTCATAAATGATCTATACATAGGACACCTTTTTTAGCCAGTGCCATGTTTGTAGGATTGTACTAACTTTAATCTAAGCTGAGCATTCATAGATGAATATAGATTCAAGCACATGTGGAATGAATGCAAATGCAGTTGCATATGTTATAATAAAAGGCTCCTCCACTGCTAGCATATTTCTTAAATGACCAGAATGTCATTTCTTTTGAGATTCAATACTCTTCTATTTCGGTTTGCATTTCATTACTGTGCAGTCCTTCCTCACTCCTCTGTTTTCTTCTCTGTTATAATTGAAATCAGCTGAACAAGAGGCTCTCTTTATACTGTATCATGTACCTCAAACCAACCTCTGTTTTGATGAGGTGTACTTATTTTGGAAGCTCTAATGTGTAATGGTAATGATCTATCCACTGTGACTCCCTGTCAGAGGAAATCTCAGTATAATTTAAACTAAACTAATATGTGTACATATATCACATATATAATATGCTTGTTATCATTTTATTAGAATTATCTATCACTTATACAGAAGTTATTCCCATTAACAAAAAAATGTGATTATAGTGAAGCAAGAAGAGGGGGAGGAAAGAGAGAACGTCTCCTCAAAACTAGACACTTCAAAAAACACTCCGTTGATACTGATGCATTTAATCCTCACAAAACTCCACTGAAACAAGGTACTATTAGGAAGATTCTGAAGAGAAGCTTCAAAAGGTTGTAAAGACCTTACATCTCTTATATGCCAGACAAGAATTTGGAACTGTCCTTCATTCACCTCAGGGTATCACTCTCAATCATCAAGCAGCAATGCTCCCAGCAACCGGGTTTGCTGTCACAATTTGTCTTGCTTCTTTCCTTTATGTTCTTTAACATATGTAGAACAACTTTTACTTGGACTTCTCCCTACTGTCCAATGTAATTACTACTAGAATTGCTAAGAGACACCACAGCAAATATTTAAAATTGGTGAGGAATATCATGTGTGATCCTAGCAATGAACATACACTGACTGCAGTGTATCTGTGTATGTATGGAGTGTTTGTGTGTGTGTGTGTGTGTGTGTGTGTGTGTGTGTGTGTGTGGGGGTGTGTGTGTGAAAAATACATTGTTTGGTTTTAAATCAATGTTGCCAAAGGCAAAGATGTTCTTTTCTTGTATATGCCCATAAATGGGCTGGCTACTTTTTCAGAAGCCAGGGAAAGGAAGAATTGTAGAGCATAAAAGTCTACTTACGAATGTGCTCTTTTTTTGCAGTTTTAATATCCTAGAATAATATAAAAATTATAAGTGCATATGAGTGAAGAATTTGATTTTTTCATATGAAAATGGTGTAGACCATTTGACACTGATAATTCTGGTGTCTTTTTATTTGAATTTGGTCCTGTGAACACCTACCTAGATTCAGCAAAGCTTGGTTATTTTATAGACAAAGGAAATAACCAAATGCAGAAGATCTGGTGAAGAGGGCAGATGACTGAATGTAGAGAAAAAACAAAGCATGATCATTTGGCTTCTCAGAAAAAAAGATCTTTTATTTATTATTTTCTTTTACTTTAACAAACTGCAATTCTGTGGCTTAAAATTTGTATTTTTGTAATGTGTCGTTTACCAAAACACTTTTATATACGTATTAACAACAAGTAGATATGATAATTTAGCATGATTGTACAAATACTGCTTGTATCTAGTGTGTTGTGTTTTACTCATTTTAACTTGATGTTAAATCATGTTTGGTTAGTTAGACGACCTTCTGAAAGGGATGATCAGCATTTCACGAGCCTGGTATCACCCTCTGGAAAAGCTAGTGCACGAAGTGGCTGCTCTAAATGGGGCAAGTGAGACTATGCTGCTGAAAGTCAAAGAGGTAGAGGAAAAAAATCAAGAACTTCTAAAGAAAATTAAGGAAATCCTTGTCAGGGTGAGTGCTCTCTCTATCTTCCTTTCTTTTCTTTCTCTTTTTTCTTCCATGAATGAGGTATTTTGTTGTGTTGAGAATGAATCTAAAACCATCTAATTTGCAACATTTAAATTTAGGTTTCCAACTTGTTCACAGCTTTGTGTCATGTCATGTCTATTTCCTGTACATTGTAGCAGATGTATGTAGTTTGGTTCTAGCTGCATGCTGTCTTATAACCTCCTAGGTAAATCAGAACCACCATTTTTGGATAAATGTCCCATTACTGGCAACTGCAGGCCTAATGCTCCACTAAAGCTGAGTGGCCAAGCTTGTTCGAGTTTTTTGTCTCACTTTCTGGTTTTTGACCAAGTTTGTGGGTTCTATTTTGTTTTTTATTTCCCTTTTGATTCTGACCCATCATCTCTTTGGGCTCAGGACTTAGATGCTTTCTGGCTTCCCTTCTCTAAACCCACAATCCAACTGCTTCCCAGGTCCTCTGTACCCCAACTTCCTGTACTTTTCTGCTTGGCCTCCTCTTTTTCTGGGAACAGTGTGAAATGAACCCGTGCAGCTAGACAATAGATTCAGTGCCACATGGTCTAACCTGAGCTCACCTTTTCTGATTTTCACCATTTTATATTCCATGTCACACATATTCCAGGCCATAGGAACTGTAGGGAAATGAGATTTCCCTGGATAACTACTAAATCCGTTAGTGCCAGCAATTTCACTAAATTATTCTGTATTAGTCGTTTATCAGAGTCAGGTTAAAGTTTTATTTATAAGACAAAGGCAACATAAGGAATGATCCTGTGTGTAGTCAGGTTCATAATGATAAGTAATGTTGTTTTAATATGCCCTCCTAAATTTACATTGAAAATTAATTCCCAAGTTTCATGTTAATGATCCTTGGAGGTTGGGCATTTAGGAAGTAATTAGGACTGGATGAGTCAGGTGGATGGGCTCCTACCTGTTTTTAAGAGGGGAGGTCCAGGCTAGCCCACTTGCTCTGCTTTGGTTCATGATCTCTGACACAGTAGTAGTATATCAAGGAGCCCCTTACCAGGCACTGAGCAGACTGGCACCAAGATTTTGGACTTCTCAGCTGCCAGACAGACCCATGAGCAGATAAGCTAAATGATCTGATCTGGGTGGTGGTGGTGGTGGTAGTGTGTGTGTGTGTTTTATAAATTTTTAAAAACTCAAATTATTCATCTCAACAACTTGTTCACAGCTTTGATATTAAGGAGTTGTGGGCAATTCCAACATTCTGAGGTTCTTTAGTGAGTGTTAATATTCAGGCATCTGTACTGGCCTGTCCTTGGGGTTCTGAGAGGATATGCCCTCAGCTGCAGCCACTAAGAGCACCACTTGTGCATATTCACTATGTTCCATTTTAAAAGGGTCCTGCCCAACTCCCATCCTCTTCTCTGTTTCTCTCCCTCTCTCTGTTTCCCTCTCTCTTTCCTTTCTCCCTTCCCCTCTTTTCTTTTTCCTCTCTCCTGTCTTCAGACTCTGGTATCCCCCTTTCTTTCCCCCTTTTTTATGATCCCTTTCCCAAATGAAATAAGCCCCTCTGCTTAGACCCTCACACATGGTGTCTTTCTCTTGCCTGGTGCTTTTCTTAAATTACAACAGTGAGAACCTCATATACCAGGAAACTCAACAGAAAATAGTTCTTACAGTCATTTGTTCAGTGCATTGATTTTGAGTGAAAATTTTATGTCTAAGTTTTCCTCAAATGTTATTCAAAATTATAGGGAATATAGACTAGGCCTGGGGAGACATATCGATATATAAAAACCTTCCTTGCATTTTATTTCCCTGAAGGCACATAAAAAATCGATATAGTAGTTTACGCTTTTAATCCCAGTACTTGGGAATCAGAGATATGGAAATCCCTGGTGAAAGGAAAAGAACCTAGGTCAAAAACAAAAAATGTGAAGGGCATGTGGCACCTGAAAATCTCTATCTAAGTTGACCACTGGTTTTCAAATTAATGTGCATACATACCTGCACAGCTACACACACACACACAAACACACACACACACACACACACACACACACACACACACACACACACACACACACACAGAAGGTGTAAGAATTACTGACTACTACTAACTACTACAAATAATGTTTGTCCTTCTGGCCTTCTGGTGATTAGGTTCATCCTGGAGCTGAAGAAAATGTCTACCCTGCTTGGATGGGACTGGCAGAGGTGAGGTCAGCCAATGAAGACACTCGCCATTTTGCTCTTAGTAACATTTTTCGATGCCTGCACAGTGATACTGACAAGGTTGCCACTTATCTTGAGATTGTGAAGTGCCGAGTCATCCATAACAACAACTGCTAAGCATATACCCATTCAGCTACTAATAGGATTGTCCCTGTTCATCCAGACTATCAATGCCTCCTTCGATTTTGCTTGTTTTAGGATATTTTATTGTTTTGTTTTTTGAAACAGAGTTTCTTTGGCTGTCCTGGAACTCACTGTAGACTAGACTGGCTTTGAACTCAGAGATGCACCTGCCTCTGTCTCCTGAGTGCTGGGGTTAAAGGCATGGGCCACTGCCACCACTACCCAGCTTTGATTTTTAGCTTTTGTATGCACACATGGGTATATCTAATTTCTTCTTAAAAATAAAACTTGATTCTTGAGAAAAGGTTTTATATTTTGTTTGTTTTTTTGGTTTCTGTTTTGTTTTTATGAGACTCTTTTGCCTATTCTTAGGATCCTTTTCTTCCTACTGGGTTTCCTTGTCTAACCTTGATATGAGGATTTGTGCTTAGTTTATGGCATCTTGCTAATTCCTATTCTATTGATATATCTAGAAGGTCTGCTCTTTTTCTGAAAGGAAATGGAGGAACAGTGGACCTGGGGGAGAGGAGAGGTAAGAGAGTACTGAGAGGAGTGGAGGAAGGGAAGGCTGCAGTAAGGATGCATTTTGTTAAGAGAAGAATAAATAAAAAGAAAAGAAGAAACTTCAAATCCAAAGTAAAACTTGTCACACCTTCTTTGGTTGACTTAATATAAATTTGATTCATAGTATTGTGACATTCTTGTGAAATCTTTCCAAACTTAGTGTTTTGACTTGCCAATAAGACTACAGTCCCCATACCATAGAAGGGACAAGTCTAGATGGCTAAATTTAGAACAAGAAGAGATTGCTGTTAATCTGTAAATGCATTTTAGAAAGAAGATAGAAATTTGGGAGTAGGCTTTGGGAGAAAACTATTCTCGACAAGCAACTTTTCAGTCTAATGATAAGCAAGAGAAGTACTGTACAAATACAGGTTCCCTAAGTACCTTGAATTTTAAACATTCCAAAACCCTGTTAGGCCACATGTATGAAATGACTCTGCATTTCTCCAATAATAAACAGTCTTCAACCATAGTACCCCTCAGCTCTATCTAGACAGATTCCACATGTTCAGGTCACTGCAGTTCTGACATTTTGTCTCATGCTCAAGTTCTTTTGCACCCTCCCCTCATCCTCCACTTATTGAGGTCACACAGCAGGGAAGGCAGATCTCATCTGTTCATACAGGGTTTCTGATTCTCTCCCTCCTCTGCATAGCGACACCTGTAGCTTCCTCAGATTCAGAATGGGACAAAAAATAAATAGTGACACAGAATTTAATAGCTCAAGTGTATTTCCACTATGGCTGAAGTTACATTCTGCTGAGAATCACTTACTTCTATTTTGGGGACACAAGGGGACACCACAAGGACAAAAAGTGAAGAAAATTCTGGAAATTTTGGCTGAATCTCTGAAAGAAGTTTTCATGAATATGTAAATTACCTTACTAAAAGTTAATATAGCAGATGCTGTTGCAAAAGTATTTCAAAGCATAGCAAGGAGATAACTGAACTTATGTAGCTTTACATAACAGTAATGGCTTCATGATAAACTCATGAGGATTGATGGAATACAGACAAATCAAAATAAGAAGGGCACATCTCTATTAATTAATCTAGAATGCTTTTATAGTATAGTAAACAAATAGGATGAAAAGAATTTAGGGAATAATCACAGACCTCTTTAAACTAATATGTGACAACTACTTCTTTTTCTGTATGCATCACTGTTTTAATGGGTAAGTCCTGGTAAAATTAGCTTTGCATTATAGAGGATGTTTTATATAATTTGGAGAGTGTGTATTTATTCTCTGAGAAAATGGAAAATCATCATAATTTAAAAGAATAAAATAATGTCATTGGAACTGAAAAATAGTGTTAATCTAGTTTGAAGGTTTATAGGATTGGGGAGCTGATAGGGATAAAAGGGTAGTGCTTAAGAAATCAAGTTGAAACACCATTTGACCTGGATTATTCAGCGTTCTCTAGAGTCACAGAGCTTATGGAATGAATGCCCCCTCTCTTGTATATATGAAATATACATATGGGATTTTATTGGCAATGGAGCCTATTTCCTCAGAATTCCATAATATACAGAACACCAGCTGAGACACTCAGCCTTGTGGGACTGAACAACTACTCAATTCTAGGACTTTCCATTCGTAGCTAGCCATTGTTGTACTGCAGCCTGTAAATCATTCCTAGAAACCTTCAAACTAGATTTTAACATTATTTCAAGTTCATGGAATCCTTTTCCTTTAATTATGGTTATATTTGTACATACATAAATACAAGCTTCCCTGTATATATAACCTCAGTTTTAATTTTGCAGGATCTGCATTCATGTTCATGAGCAAAGATTCCTGGTATTAGGAGCCTTAGACTCTAAGTGGAAAGAAAGAAAGAAAGAAAGAAAGAAAGAAAGAAAGAAAGAAAGAAAGAAAGAAAGGAAGGAAGGAAGGAAGGAAGGAAGGAAGGAAGAAAGAAAGAAAGAGAAAATTTGAACATAAGAACTTTGCAAAGGATGTGCACAGGAGATCTGTGCTTTAGGGAAAGAAATAATGAAATAGTAAAGAGGTCTAGGGAAAACACTTAGAAATGCGTGTAAGATTCAGTTTAGAAATAAGCAGGAAAAGCAAGCTATGATTATCCGATAAGTCAGACAATCATATTAATCTCTTGAATCTAGCATCTAAATTTCCTGTTCCAGTAAGATTGATTTCCCTAATTTATAATGTTAAAAAAAATCTTGTTCAGTATCTAAGAAGTAATGTAGTCTTCAAAAACATCCAAGTGTGAATGATCTGAAAATTCCACCCTTTACAGTTCAACTGAATAGATCTTCAAAGTATCTTCCAGTAAACTTACGAAAATTAGGTTCATTTTAATGAAGCATTTTTTAAAAAAATCTTTAGAAAGCAACAATTAAAAACTTATGTTCAATGAACAATGGAAAATTTCAGTGTGCCCAGGATTATGATTTAAAAGTATGTTTTGTTTGTGTGTAATACATGTATGTATCTGTGTGCAGGAGAGAGGCTTATGAGCCTATGTGCACATGCTGAAGATACAGGAGGATATTTGGTATTTTTCTCTATAACTCTCCACATTATTCTCTTGATACAGGGTCTCTAACTGAAGCTAGATTGAACTCTTTTCTAGTTAAGTCTCCCTCTCAATCAGTAAATACAAGTAGTGTTCATGTCATCATCGTGGCCTCTAAGTACAGACATTACCAGATTGCACACCTTGCTTATTATGTCAGTTCTGGGAATAAAAACCCAGGTCCTCATTCTTGTGCAATAAGCAGTCCTTCCCACTGAGCATATCCCAAGCTCCTATGATTTAAAACAACAATATGTGCTCTAATCATACATTATAAAATCAGAATATAGCATTTAAACTTCACACAAAGTACAAATGATTAATTAACCAGATATCACTCATAAGTAAAGCTATACTAAGGGTTTCTCTTCTCAGGACAAGATGTTTGTTTTCAACGTCTCTAAGCAATGTATTCTGTATGAACATATATATATAAATAATTCATATGTGCAATCCAAGTTCTTATAATGCTTCCAGTGGGTGAGAAAAAATTTATAAGTGAGCATCTGTCTTCATTTCTAAGTATAAATTTTTGAAGGACAAACTAATCCCCATTTTATTTTCTATTGTCTCTTCAACAATTCCTGTATTAATAAATTATACTCCAATTTTTACAATAGAATTCTTTCCTAAGCATCCTGAAAACAAGCCCATGATGCATAAAAAAGAATGACAATTTTAGTGGCTGTCATTATACATCACTATTTGTATGGAGAATTAATGAAAATATTTCACCAGACATTTAAAGAAGTGTGCAAAGCAAAGCTTCTCAAAATACTTCCCCAAACTCTTAAAGATGGAATAAATAAAGCAATTTCACTGCTAAACAGACAATTGTGTGGTATAAAATGCTTTATACATTAGCTGCTTACAGCGTCCACATTAAAAAAAAAATGTTCTATTGGTTTTTCTCCTGATGGCTGACAAGATTTTCTCTAAATATTTTGTAATAAAAATTCCTTCCTGTGATTTATAATCAACTCTGATAAATACAGGAAGATATGGACAAGTTCACTTTCAGCCATGGCAATACAAGAAGGAACTTGGAGACTTTTCACGAATGAGATGTCTGTGAACTGACTCCGGACCCGATGACTAAAAAAGTGACAGAGAAACATAAAATGAATTGCCAAGACCAGGAATTTCTCATGAAAATCACGGTGATGGACAGAGAATCATGAGGGAAAGTGGGGGATCTCTTCCAATAAAAAGGAGTCATTTTTTCCATAACCCTTGTCATTCAGCCTTTTGTCCTCCACTGGAATTTCATCACTGCAATTACTAAAGTTCCTAAAAGGATACAAAGCCCTGCAAGAACAAGAACATAACAGAGAAGACTCCACAGCCTGAAATCCCCTTCAATAGATGAAAAGTTCTGGGTTTTGGGAGTGCACAGGCATATAGCTACAACAGATGGCAGAACCTGGAGACTCTTACTGTCTAATAGGGACTGACTCCCCTTTGCTTCTCAGACATTTGGGGAAGCTAAGGTAAACTCCAGATGCAGAAGCCTCTTTCTCTATAATAGCATGTAATTTCAGTAACCTATAATTATCACTCTATCCTATCTGGAGAAAGCACTTCTGTTCCCACAGACAGCACAGGCAAGAAACTGCAAAACATCAGATAAATCCAACAGACAAGGATAGTGAGGCAAAACTGAATCTCCAGCTGCCCTTAGGATCACAGCTTCAAAACTGTGCCAGAAACAGAAATTGAAGGAGTTTTCTTTTTAATTTAATTTTTGTTTTAGGATGAAGTGTATGTGTCTGCACTTGGCTATGAGAATGTAAGTGTGGGTATCAATGGCCAAAAGCTTGGGATCCTGTCACTGGAGCTGTTGTTACAGGCAGTTGTGAGCTGCCTTTGTAGGTGCATCAGAAGGGGTAATGAGTGCTTTAAGCTGCTGAGCCCTGTCTCAGGTTTGGTAAATAGATTTTACTGCAAAGGAAAATCCCCAGAAAGAACTTTACCTAGCCTAATCCTTCTTCAAGTTTGGCCATCTGATAAGGAGTAAGTCATTATGGAGCCTCTGGAATGTTGCAGGTCCAGAGCCCAATTACACTTTATCTTGGCAATTTTTAGTCAGTCCCCTTACTTACCATTCCTTGTCTGCTTCAGCTTCCAACTAACATCCTGTTGTTAACT